ACCCCACCGATCACCCAAAAGCCACTACCCCAACATGCTATTTCCTTCCATTCCTTTTTCATAGTTTTTTTTAAATATTTAATGTAATTTATATTTACAGGGTCCTTTTCCCCCCTTAAATCATACTGTAAGCATTTCCTCCTGTCACTGAGGATTTCCATGCATCACTTCAATAACTGCATAATATTCTATCATATAAGCATATCTGAATTTACACAACCAATTCCCTAATGTAGAACATTTAGATTGTTCTCTTTTATTTTTTATTTTAAACCAAATTGCAGTATACTTCCTAAGCATGAATTTTTGTTCCCTTTTCAGATTATTTCACTAGGATCATACTAGAAATGGAATTTTTGATTGTCAGGGTGACACATTTGCCGAACAGTATACAAGAGATTTAAAGGTGACCATTTTTTAAAATCTCACTTGGAGGCTCTTTTGACATTGTTGACAATGGTGATCCTGGTGACAATGGTGATAATCCAACAGCCAGCCTGTGCTGGCCACTGCCCCAGGTGCTCACCAACACACTAACTGACAAGGAGCCTACATAGCTGTGCCATCACATTTCACGTGTGAGGAAGGTGAGGTTAGAAAGGCCACAGCACTCCCCAGGATGGTCCAGGTGTGGTCTAGGCAGGAGCTCAGTCATGCTGCGGGACCGTCCCTTGCTCTGGACCTCACTCCTTCACCTGTTCACTCCCAAGCCTGGCTGACACAGCCAATGTGCACACCTCACAGGTATGCAGGTAAGCAGGCACCCAGCCACGAGCCTGGCGGGCGGAGGCTTCCTGTGCCCTCACTCTCCCCCATTCTGGATGGAGCTGGGGCTGGAATAAGTGTATCCAGGGCCTTCAGTGCTCCAGTCACTTCTGCCCAAGCTCAGAGCTAGGAAGTCAAGCAAATGCTGATTGGGATACACTGTCCCCTCTTGGCTTCTCAAAATACCTGCAAGCATCTATTCCCTTTGCCACTTTGGTGCCCCAAACACCTTTCTTTGGAGAACCACTTCCTTGCTGCATCATCAGAGCCCAGGGATACTGAGAAATATCAGCAGAGGTTGTTTGTCCTTCCATAGGTCTCACTGCAGGTACTCAGTACACAAATGGACATCCGGCGGGCAGTTGAGACTTTCAAAGTTTCCAAAGAACAAGGCACAGGAGACTAGTCTTCTGATCTGGCATTGATCAGAGGCCAAGTGCACCTACCAGATGCTGGCATGGGGCCCTCTGTCCTCTCACCCAGCTCCAGTCATGGGGGCAGGCAAGGAAGCCAGCACAGGTGACAAATTCTCACAGTAACCACTATGCCAGGTCTGAAACTACATCAGCTGGCTCCTGGAAGAAAGGACACTAAGCTCAGAGTCGCTCAGAGGCCAGGCAGCTGAGAGTGTGACTTCTTATTTTTATTGCTAAGAGAGGACCGTCCCCCCACAATTTCCATTTACTGAAGCCTTTATCACCTCCTTGCAAAGAGGAGGTGTGTGAAAGCATTGGAACTGAGCACGTGATCTGTGAGCCACTCTCACTGTCATGAGCTCAGTGGTTCTCAAAGACAGGATCCTTGGACCAGCAGCATCAGCAGCACCTGGGAACACAATTAACAATGCAAATTCTCAGGCCCACTCTTGGTGTGCTGAGTCAAAATCCGAGGTGGGTGCAGTGATCTGTGGTGTCACAAATCCCCCAGGAAATACTGACGCACACTCAGACTGAGAACCCACGTCTTAGCTATCAGCCCCCTCTAGCCCTACCAGGAAGAGGTTTTACTCTCTAAAGAAAGTAGAAGGAAGCTCCAAGCTCCAACTTGCCAGAGAAGTTCTGCCCTCCAGCCTAGGTGTAGTCCTATGTCTTGGGGCTTTGTATCTGACATACAATGACCAGACACCACAGTAGTTAGGCCCACACAGAGGTCCTCCTGCCCCACCTAGAAGTCATGACCACTCTGCTATGGACTTGCACCCCTCGTCCTCTCACCACTGCACCCAGCTCCCCCTGCTGGCATTGCCTAGTACACCGTCTCAGTAGGTCAGTCTTGGGAACCCCCTCTTCCTCCAGGAACCCATTCCTGAAAACATCAGAGAGCCAATCTTTCTAAACTTACATGCATGCCTTTATCTCTATTACACAGTAAGTTCCTTCCAGGTAAGGGCCCTGGCTTAAGTAGAGAGCACATTGCTGCAAAACAGTAGGTGCTAAAGAAATGTGGCTGAGGACAGAGAAATAAACAAACAGAATCATGACCACCCGCATTGTCAGAGAGCCTGGGAATCCTGGGGCTGAGTCTGATGGTTGAGTCCCCTCTCCCACACCCCCAGGCATATCTTTATTGCTCGTTTTGACACTTTACCATACAGACAGTGTTGGCAGTCTCTTTTCACATAAACATATTAAATCTCCTCAGCCAAGTCATAAGCTCCCTGGGGGCACACCCCATCTTCTTCACATCCCCGGGCTAGGTAAATGCTACCTGTTCAGCCAACATTGATGGCTTGCAAGAGAGATGGATAGACAGTGAATAATAAGCTATCCATTTATTATTTTGTAGCACTACTATTCTGAGACCAATTCTTCCCCAGTTGTAGCTAAATGCTATATCCTTTCAGAGTCTGATAACAACAAACCATCAAGAAAAGGAAACGTGGTTGACTTTTTTTCTACCCAAAAAGAAAAGTCAGTTAATAAACTTCAGTTGTCAGCTGCTTTCTGCTTGACCGGCATAAGAACTTGGAGGCAAGAATCTAGCACAGGAAGAAGAAACTCCAGTGGGAACCAAGGAGAAATTTCTATGACCACGTAGTTTCCTCTCCCTCCCCCAATAGCTGTCCTCCTCCTGAACCCAAATCAGACTCACGCAAAGTCATGGCCACTGGAGAGTGACTTTTCTAACCAGATCTGTAGTTTCTTTGAAATGGAATGCTCTGGGTAAGCAGCCTGGAGCTTGGCAAATCATCAGGAAATGGTGTGGACCCCTTTGTGTTGCTGTCATCCACACGGTTGTCATGGTGGGATCTCTCCAAGGACTACACGACAAACCTCTGTTCCCCTTCATGGTTTTAAAACTGAAATAATATTCCTCTTCCCACAACACTTAGGCATCCTGGTTCAAAGGCATTCTCCCTCTTGATTCTAAGTAACTGAGTTCCCCAGAGGGCTCTGCTCTGGCTAGAATTCTTGCGATTTTGTTGGCCCAGGTGTACATGGGAAGCTGGGAGCAAGCTCTTCCTCCATTACTCCTGAGGCACAAGGAAAAACCATTAGAGGTGGGCAAGAGATGTAAAGACAAAACCTTGCACAAAAGAAGAGAACTCCTGGCACAGCTTCATCAGAAAACACAGAAGAAGGGAAATTCTTGGTGGTCCCAGAGGGTCAACCTGTGTCTCTGGAGCCAGCACCTGACCACTGCTCTCTGTCAACATCTGAGAACCCCCAGGGTCCAGCTGCTGCTAATGTCCTACACCTTGTTGACTGTGCCCAACTGCCAGCTGGAACTGGGAATGTCACCTTTAATGAGGGGCAGTACCTGTGTGCCCTGCTGCCCTCGACCGGAGGACAGCAGCTGGCCACCCTGTGGACCACATGTAGAATCAGCAGGGGTGTGGCCACAGCCAGGCTGTAGATGGCACAGGAGAAAAGCCAGTGCCAGTACTTTGAAGGGCACACATTCTGGTACTACGGAATCCTGGGTTTGAACACAGGTTCTGCTCTTTGTTGGCAGTGAGATTTTGACATGTTATTTGACTTCTTTAGGCATGCGTTGCATTATCTGTGAGTTAAAAGAGGGAGGAAACTCCCCTTCTGCAGGCTTGCTGCAGGATTAAATGAGGGAGCTTCCACAGAAACTTTGCCCAGAGTTTCTATGCACAGAGAACCTGCAAAGTGTTTCTCTTCCTCCAGAGGCTTACAAGGCTGAACCCCAGGCTATGTGGTCTCATCTCCATAATCAGGGAGCATTCCTCCCACTCACCATCTTACCCCTTCCCCCGTGGGAGGGCAGTTTCCCTGAACAGGAGTTTGGGGCTGCAATGGCCCTTCCCTTTCCTCTCCCTCTGAAGATTCACCAGCTCAGCTCACAGGAAGCATCTGTTATCCCTGCACTTGGCACATGACCCAGGCCCTAGCCTTGCGGTGAGGACTGTGGCTGGCCATATCAGGGGTTCAGAAGCCCAGAGCTGTCACGCAACATGGCCACCTTACTGCCGTAGCCATACCAGATTTTGTCAGGGTGAAGCCCTGCTTTCTTGGCTATCTGCCTGCTTGTAGTTGGGCTTACTTGAACCAGCACTGCAGGACTAGGGATTTGTTTTATTCCCTCTTATAGTGCCGTGGTTTAAGCCATGGCCTCCAAACAGTATGGTGGATGTTTTTGTTGTATGCGCACAAATGAAATCAAAGCTCCACCAAACAGTATTTCCCCTGGCTGCCTCTGATAGGACCTGATGGTTTCTGAACATCTCTCTCTCTCTCTCTCTCTCTCTATCCCCCCCACCCATTCCTTCTTTCTCTCTCTCTCTCTTCCTCTACTCCTCTCTCTCTCCCCACCCTACTCCCTCTATTTGGGACTACCAGCGGGTTGGGATTTACTGTTTGACAACACTAACTTAAATAAGTTGTATGTCACAGTCATATCTCCCAGGGAGACCATAAGCCCCCTGAGGTTCGAGACTCATTCTGTTTCCTGGAACCTCCTCCGTCCCTATGGTATTGCTGGGAACACAGAGACACTCAGCACCCAGATGGTGATTGACTGTCAGCCAAGACTGCGCTGGGAATCGATGACCAGCATCCATCCTCTGCCTGGACTCACAACATCTGTTAGCAGGTCGCTTAGTTGACTGGCCCTGAATTATGTGCAAAGCAGAGTAATGATAAGAATGAGATCAAACTAGTGGTGACAGGATGTGAGGGCGATCTCGCTGCAACATCTGTCACCCTGCTGATTGCCAGGGTTGATTCAGTGGATCTGGCTATCTAGGCGGTGTCCCCTTCCTTCCTCAGGTCTCCCTGTACTTCCCTCCCAAAGCCACGCCCTTGGTAGAAGAGGACGACCTTCCCTGATAGAAGAGGACGGTTCTTCAGTTGAAGGTATATGAGTAGCTGAGTTCCCCTGCTAGAACTTTTAGTCAAGCTCTCGAGGACTATTTTTAGGGGAATGTAGGGTCGTCAAGCTTCCAAGACTCCAGACACGTCCAAATGAGGTGCCACATGTGGCAGTTTGCCTTTCTTTAAAAAAAAAAAGTGACTACAACTCAGTAAACATATATAAAATATTTATCATGTGTGGGCATGTCATTTCTAATCCCTACCACAGGGGCGGGTATTGCTAATCTTGTTTTACATACAAAGAAGCTAAAGCCAGTCAATATCAAGTACTTTGCTGAATACACTGCTGTGAAACTCACACCAAGACTTGAACCAAAAGCTGTCTTCACAATAAGGTGGACAATGCAAAGTGCAGTTTGACTCTCAGTTCCCCCAAAGGGACCAGACTTTCAAATACCATTCAACAACTGTTCTTGGGTCCCAGGAGCATAGCCCAATGTGGAGCATAGAGCTGTAGCCAGTGTGTTTCTGGGGCTTGTGCACACTGGGGTCAGTGTGCTTCTGGGGCTTTTAGAGTGTTCTCTCTGGTGGGGAGCGTTACAACCTTGAGGGGAGACAAGGAGGAAAATCACAGCATACCCTGGATCTCTACAGAAGGGTGGAGGGCTCCCATGCCTGTCCAATCTGAGGGCTACACAGTGGCTTACTTCTGATCTCAGTCCCATGCCTAGTCATAAGTAACACCTTGCTCTGCCATAAATGCACCCACTAAGGCTGCCCATTAATCCCCTTACCCCAGTTCCTGGGCTCAGAATGATGCTAACTCCAATCACATACTCACCCTTCAACCCCAGCTAGAGGTGGGCTTTCATTCCAGGGTTGCAATCTGCTTGCACACTAACCCGTCACCTTCCTGGGCAGAATGGAGCTCACTCCAGCTAGCCTTTCCAAATGTCCCTTATCATTGCTGCTGGCTAAAAGGAAGCAGGACAAGGGAGCAGAGCCAATGACGGTCCTCACCATCTCCAGAGGTGAGAGATCAAAGCACAGGCTTCCAGAGCCTCAGCACCATGGATGGTGAGCGGACATTCAGGGAGAAAGTGAGGGCTCGGGAGAGGTGAGCACTGTTCTGGGTGCTGTGATCTCTGCTCGGAATGCTTACACTCCTGTCTGTGCAGAAACTCTCATTCATCCTTCAAGGGCCAATCGTAAGGACTTCCCTCTGGGAGCTTTCTCACCACCAGCAGTTCTCAACACAGAACAATCATCAAACCACCTAGAGGCCTGTGACCACAGATTGCGGGGCACCCTCCTCTGATTCCACAGGTCTGAGATGGGGCCCAAGAATTTGCCTTTCTAGCAGACTCCTAGGAAATGCTGCTAGTCCCAGGACCACACTTTGAGAACCACTTCTTGTACCATCCCCATCTTCCCAGACAGGCCTGAGCTGCCTCCTCTGTGTCGATTCTGACCTCTGTGGCCGTTCCTGTCATGCTGAAGTGTCTGGGGGCGTTCACAGTGTGCAAATTCAGCTCCACACAGCTGGAGGACTGGGGCATGGAGATCAGGCATCCCTGCCCACTGTGCTCCTGAGTGCGCGTGAGTTCAGAGGGAGCCCTGCTAGGGGCTCAACTAATGACCCCTCAGAGGCCAGAGGTCCCTTGAGCCCCCAGCCCACTGGCCTGCTGGGAAGGCTTCCGTGTTCCAGTATATGGGTTTGGGTACAGGGTTCCAAACATAAGCTAAGAAGTTCACCCCAAGGGATTCAAGCCAAATACCTCATCTGTTCCTTAAGCTGCCAGCCCAGACCCCCTCCCTGGGCAGTGCCTGCAGGGGTAAGCACACTGACTCCGGGCAGCCTCGGCCTGAGTTGGTGGACTCCTGACTCTCTTAGCTGTATGATCCAGGAAAAACAGTAACACTTTTCTGGGGCTCAACTTCCAGATCTGTACAATGGGAAAAATAGTCACTGCTTCTGAATGGGACTGCCATGGGGACTAAATGAGTTAAAACCTGGTAAATGCTGAGGACAGTACCTGGCACGTGGTCATCAACTGTGAATTGCTTTTAAAAGAAAATGGAACGGGAGTCCCTTCTATCCCTGACTGGGTTGGACAAACTGGCATAAGAAATGCTGGTCTTGGCCTGGAACAAACATTCCAAGTGGCAATTCTGGATGTTTGAACTTCTGTGACCATCCACACAGACTTAAGGAAGGGGCCACTCTTTCTTCTTACTGAAGCATGAGGTGCTTCGTGATTGAGGAAGGTCTACAAGGCTAGCATCTGAATCTGCTCACTTGTGTGGGTGTACACACACGTACAGGCATTTCTTTCTGCGGTATCATTCAGTGCATGTCCATGGAGCACCTTCTGTGGACTTCATACTAAATTCTAGCTTGCTCCTGTCCATCCTAGATCTCAGAGTCCGATGCTGCTTGAACTTCCTGCCCCTCCAACCCGAGTTCTCACTGTGGTGAAGCACTTAGAAGCTGACCTGACTGCTCCTCCTGCCTTCCCCTCCCTGTGCTGCCCTGACTCCTGCTTATGCCTGCTCTCCTTGCTGACCTGAGGACCTCTTTTAACCTCTTTCTGCCCCCCAGGCTGTTTTTCTCCTCCTCTGTCTCCAGCCTGGAGCCTTTGCTTGGCTCTCCGCACTGTCCTTCCTGGCACCACAGCTGGTTTCTTATCAGAAAAAGGCATCTGGAAGCTGCGCTGGGGAGAATGACCTCATCCGACTATAATTAAAGTGATTATCTAAGCGGAAAGGACTATTATGAAGTAGCCTTCTCTCTTTTAATATGCATAGCCGTTGTAATGGGAACATGGGATTTCCATGTTAACATTGATATTTCTGTGGTCTAATAAATCCTTCCTCTCACTCATCTCCCAGAGAAGAGAGGAGACACTGTGAAGCCACTGGAGGTGATGTGCAGGTACCTGCTGTCCTTGAGATGCTAGCCCTGCGGCCAGACCAGAGCCCTATGGAAAAACACACTCAATAATTTGGTAGCACCCCAGGCGGCCCTTCCCACAGAAGAGCCGATCAGAGACCACAGAGGGGACTCTGGGAGGAGCCTCCAGACAGGAGCCCTCCTGGGAGGGGCATCTTCAAGAGAGAAAAAGAAAGTACACCCCAGAGGTGAAAGTGTGAGCTAAGTCCAGGCCCACCACTTGGCGAGCTGTGTGACTCTGGGCATGTCGTTCTCTGATGCTCAGGGTCACATCTGTGAAATGGCTAGTAATACCACACACCTTATGGGACGGCTGCGAAGACCACATGATGGGATGGGTAAAAGGCAACTAAACCAACACCTGGCATTTACAGACCCTCCACATGTGGGGACACTTCACAAATGGTCTGTTTTTGCCATTATGGTGGGAAAAGCTGAGGCCCAAAGTCCAGTGGTGCTGGCACCAGACATATTACTGCCCACCTTCATGCCCACCACCAGGCATGTCTACCCATTCTGCCCAGTGCAGGAGCCCATCCCTCATCCCACTCGCATGGTTGCAGAGATGCCAGAACTGGGTCCTTTCCACTGCGGTTCACACGTTCTCTCCAGACCTGCCAGGGACCAGGCAGAGACAGAAGCCTGGCCAGGCACACACTGCCTCCTGCCCACTCGGCCTGCTCAAGAGCTGTGCGCCTGTGAGCAGGGGGTGCAGGCAAGGCTGGGGTGCTGCCAAGTATGGGAAGATTTTCTCTCCCCACTAAAGCTTTTCTCTTCTGTTCGCAGAACTCGACCCTGGCCCATTTTTCCCCTCTCTGCGGGCGAACATCGCCATCATTGCAGGTGAGCTGTTCTGGGCCTCCAAGCCAGGAGGGTTAGAGGGAACTCCCCAGGGAGAACCTGCCTGAGACTTCAGAGCAAATGCCTAAATGAGGGTGAGGCTGCATGAGGGACCTAAGCCCCTCTAAAACTTGCCAGCGTCCTCCTCCCCCAAGCACTCCCAGGCTCTGAATGACCTGGGCCCTACTGCCCAGATTTCAAGTCTCTTCTCCCAACTGCTCATGAGCCCAAACAGAAATGAAGGGCTGACTTCTACCCACACCCCATGCCTTTACATGGCATCCTCCAGAATCCTCTCCCTCTTTAGTCCTTTGCTTGGCTGGTCACTGCTCCCCAGCCAGGCTCATGCAGCCCTCACCTCTGGAGAATGTTCTGGAGCTCAGATAGGGTGATAAGCAGTGAACCCCACGCCATCCAACCTGCCTCAAGGGTTTCCCATGGCCCTGTTCTGTACCCCCAGTAGTGCACAGGGGGCAGCCACCAGGGCCCAGCCTTCTGGCCACTCTCAGCACCAAGTCTCGTCCCCCAGGGCACTTCTCAGTTGGGATTGTTCTGGTTTTAAAACTGAAAGTCCTGAGGTTCTTGAACCCCTCAGTTTTAGATAAACTCACATAGTTCATTCTGCAAGTTATGCACAGAGGTCTGTCTTCCTCAGTAGACTGAGCGTCCCTGAGTGAGGGTCAGTTCTGGAATCCTCTTCCAGCCTCAGTCTGCACCACAGTGAGTGGAGGGTGGGGGAGCAGGAGGGGAGAGAGGGGTAACTCAATGGGCACAGATAAGGGTGAGTGCACACTGGGCAGGAATGAGCCAGTGTCTGGGGTTGGTGTTTACTGCAGCAGAGTGTCTGTTCTGCCACAAGCCCTGTGTGTCCTGACCCCCTCCCACAAGCCTGTCTCAGACAGAGCGATGCACTGCTTCCCTCCTGCAGGCGTGATCGCTGCTGTAGCCATCGTCCTGATCTGCCTCCTCATCGTCATGCTACGCTACATGTACAGACACAAGGGGACCTACCACACCAATGAGGCCAAGGGCACAGAGTTTGCTGAGAGTGCAGATGCAGCCCTGCAGGACGACCCCTCCCTCCAGGACACAGGTGACAACAGCAGAAAGGAGTACTTCATCTGAGGAGCACCAGGCCTCGCCTCCCCCAGTGCCTCCTTCAACTCCACGAGAGAAGATGCACCCCACAACCCCACCTGCTATCTGTACCACCAGTCGGATCGTGAGAGTGCCCACCTCATCCCAAGATATGCACCTGGCCTGGGAACACTAGGTGCTAGCCTGGGGAGAGAGAGGGAAGAAGGAACTGAGCCACAGAGGCCTCTCCCAGGCACCCAGGGATACAGTGGCCACCCAGGAGGCCTGCCTTTGCTCTGCCAGAGGGAGAAAGTCTGGGTTCTCCTGGACAGTGCAGTTTGTTATCAGCATGGTGTGAAAGTCCTTGCTGGGCGGGTGGGCCTGAGGGCTGGGGAAGCAAGGAAGTGAGTCATCTGTAAGCTGACTGGGGATAATGGCATCAAATGTCAGTCCTTGACATTTGGGGGGAACAGCAGGTGCCAGAGCTAAAAGGCACCTTTGTCTCCCATTGATCCAGCTCTAAATGATTGGAAATAAATTTGAAATGTAACCAAGCATTCAGAGTCAAACAGCATTACTGTAATTGTCTAGGGAAAGATAACCACCACCCAGGCCTTGCATTTCACAGGTGCGACTTTGTGTTCTCCGCTAAGTCTGCATGCGTGGGGCTGGAACCATCCACTTCCAGCCCCATTGTCCTGTCCTCAGCATAGACAGTGGAGAGGGTTCCTGAGGCCCTGAGGGAAGGAGGGCCCAGTGACAAGATTTCTTTTTCTCCCTGTGCAGGCACCAGCTTCATGAAACAAATGAAAGAGTGGAATGTTCCCCTAGAATAATGGCCTTACCAGCTGCCAGGACACTGGCTAAAGCATTGATTTTTTAATGTGCGATATTAGAAAAACTACACCTGTTAAGTAACTATGAGTGAACCAATCCTTCCCTTAATAACAGTGGCTAGGGCATAGACTGCAGAGTGCCATCCCTCTGGGTTTGGGCCCTGGATCCCCTTTCCTGGTCCTGGGAACTTGGGCAACTCACTTGACCTTTCTGGCTTCAGTGTTCTCATCCCTCAAATGGACATGACTCCATGGTAGTGTTGAGAAGGAAAAATTTTATTCTGCTCTTCAAGATCCTTCTGGCTGGTCTAAGAATCAAGTTGACATAAAACAGACTGGAAAAATCAAATTTAATTTCATAATTCCTGAGAATCCACATAAACATGGGATTCCAAAAACAGTCAGGCAAAATGAGGTATATTTGCCATCCTGACTAAGGGGAAGAGGGTAGGTGGATGGGATTTTGAAGGGAAGGAAGGTCCATTCATAGGAATGTGGAAAAGAGTAAATGCTCGGTAAAGAAATGTTGGCTGGGCCCCTCAGGAATAATGGGACACAGAGAGAAATTTTAACACAGACTTTGCTAAACTCCTCCCTGTCCACCTCCTCTGGTTATATCATAATGTAGTTATCTATGGTGATAGTTCCCTTCCTGGAGCAGGTCCTCTGTCTCAATTCTTTTGGGCAGTTAAGGGGAAGGTAAGAGATTCTTCCGAGTCTTTTGGGCCTTGATTCTTTCCAGCTCAAAGTAATCTGCGTGCCAAAGTGGCCCATGCTGAGGGACTCATTCTGAACCCCTGCAGTACCAAGTCTCAGGGTTGGTGGCAAGAACAAGCATATCAGGCGCTCAGTGCTGCCATCCAGAGTCAATAATTGGTGCTAGATACGCAGTACATAAGTATTGATAATGGAAGTTCCTTACTGCACCACTTCTAAACATTTCCAGAAGAAGAGGAACTGTCATTTAAAATGAGTAACAGGGAGAGAAGATGAACTTACTAACCATCGTCCTTTTTAAGGGTCTTTTTAAGGGTCTTTTAAAGGTCCTTTTAAGGGTCTTTCTAAGACTCCCAGCAACTCAGCAGTCACTCAGAGATCAGCAAGTCCAGGTTTAAGACTAAAGCCCGGGCTGCCAGGAGCCCTCTGTGACTCAGATATCTTGAGGCTGCACCTTCTACAACCGGGAGTCAGCAAAAAAGTCCTCCATCATTCCCCCTAGGAGAACAGGATCCAAGTTCTGCCCCAAATGGCCACCAAGCAAAATAGCTGGATGTTCTAGGGTTGTCATGGGTGTCGGGGGAGAAATAGAAGAAAAGAAGTTAATGATAGCCAAAGGGTGAGACCTTCCACTGAGTAACCTGAGTTCACTGGCCCACCACACTTCATCTATAAAATCAAGCGTTTAGCTACAACCATCCGTATGTCCCAAACTCTAATCAATAAAATAACAGCCTGGAAAAATAGTGATAAACAGCCCAAACAAAAAGGATGTTCCTTGTGCAAATAAATGTGTAAATGATGTGTTAAGCAAAGTTAAAGCTGTGTGAAGTTTCAGGCATCCCTAGTATTCCAGTGTGTGCAGTGACTCTTGGAGTATGGGAGGGTAGGAGGATGAATGCAGCATTCCTCAAATGTATTTTTCCAGAGACCCCATTTCTTCCCAAAACACCTTTTACACACTTGTGGGCCAAGAGTCCCCAGAACATATTCGGGAAACACTGAACTAACCAACTACCAACATCCCTTCCTGTTGTGACATCACTTCAGGGTTTTAAGAAAATGTGGGCATATGGCCTCATCTTGAAGGATTGTGAGCACAGATCACAGCCCAGTGGGCAGAGAGGAGGATCCCAGAACCCATACACAGGCATGTCTTGCTTTAAAAAAGTCTCCAGGAAAAGGATGAACCCAGAGTACCTGGGCCCCCTGATGCCACCACAGATGTCTGTCCTGGAAAAAGATGCTGGTGGCTCCTCCCCACATCCTCCGCAAAAGCCCCAGAGCCACCTGTGTTGACTACTCTCTGAGAACTGGCACCTCCTTCCCCTGGTCCTTGCCCTCCGTGCCCATCCAATGTCCTAGAAGACTGTATTGAAGCACAGCTTAGTCTCAGCCCTCAGGCCTAGCCAGAACCAGGCACAGGGGTGACATGGATGCTGCCAGGCCGATTCATCCAAGGTGGCCTATCCAGATGCCCCCAGGAGGAGGAAGCTGTCACAGGCTAACTGCAGAGGCAAAAGCACCAGGCCAGTGAGCACATGCATGCACACATTCCCTCAGGCATCTAGAACACACTGGTATGCAAATAAATGGTGCATCATCTGGGAAGGGAGCACACTTTCTTTATCTTTATCTCCCCCAAAGGATGATGCATAGAGTCACAAGGTAGCACGTCTGCCACAAATGTGGATGGGGGCAAATGTGCACAAATGCATGCACCAGTTCTCCAAAAACTCTTGAGGACAGAGGGAAGTGGAGAGGAAAGGCAGAAAGGGGAGAGAAAAGGGAGAGAAGTAAAGAGGAGGGCTAGAAGAAGAGGGAGGGGGACCTAGCACACTCTGTATGAAATGCCAGCTGCTTTGCATGTGCTCTTCTTGTCCTCACCACAGTCCTTGCAGGCCAGTGGCCTTATCCACCTTTCAGCCCTGTAGAAACTGAGGCTCAGAAAGCTTGGAGTGATCTCTGGAGGTCACACAGCTTCTAATGGCCACCGGAACATTTGAACCCAGGCCTGTCTGACTAGCAGGCTAGAGAGAGGAGGCTCCTTCCTTCTGCAGGTTGAGGAGCATCAGCAAGAGCTCTTCATGGGAGTGGAGCAGGTGGCACCAGGACTCAAAGACCCCGAAATGACCCAGTGCTGGGGTCAGAGTGCTCCAGGCCTGGCCCCTGCCAACAATGACCAGGGCTCTTATGCCAACATCCCCATCCCTGGCAAGAGCTGGCCTGGGACAGAGGCAGCTCTCAATGGTGGGAGTCAGTGACCAAGTGGAGTCCTGAACTGTTGGCCCCCTGCAGGATGATTAGCAAGATAAAGACAGTAAGTACTTTCAGGTTGATCACATCTCATTCATGTACTAACGCCCATGAATCTTGCCACCCAGGTCACTCTTATCAAGGAAGAAAATGATCAGATAAGTCACATCATGTCAAAACATGTGCAAAACATCTGTACTACTTACTCCTGGGATGATTTGTGGCTTTAAAAAGTGTTTAAGCCCCAAATAAGAGTATTTAATGATGAAATTTCAAACCTAGAGATAGATTCTGTGTGACATGGGTGGTTTATCTAGATATAGCCAGCCTTGCCTCAAGGGCCCATGGTTTGATGGAGAAGATGAACATGTCAGTGTATTCAGCCCACAGTTACAGATGCTGTGAGTGAAGGGATACAGATAACTATGAGCACCATGGAAGGAGAAGCCAGTTCCACTGAAGGTATGGAATGGATTAGGAAGGCTTCAGATGGGAAAGGAAACTTTGTTTGGCCATAGAGTAGACTAGGGCTGGACCACAAAGAATCTTGGGCCCTTAGTCTAAGAAATGGGGCTTTGTGCCACAGACCATATGGAGCCACCAGAGAAGCAGGTCACTATCATAAGGATAAGGCAAAGGTCAAATTAAACGGCACAGATGAAAATGCACTGTGGAAATGTACAAGGGAGCTGCTATAGGCTTATCAAGGTTTGGACCCTGCGAAGGGGCTGGAGACATCTGTCATCCTGGAGCATGCCCATTACTCCAGTTACACATCATTTTGTATGAAATTCACATGACTCAGCCCATCCTGCTTGTGGGGAAATGGATCTCATCTGTGCATCAGAAGAAGGGCAATAAGTAGAGCTTCGAGCCAACTGTTATGTAAATATTGGAGAACTTCTTTCATGGAAGACACTCCTGATGATACCTTGTTTATGTTCCTTTGGAGAAGATGCTGCTCAATTGGTTTCCACTCCCTGCTTGAGCTTTTTTATCATTATAGCAACAGAGCTCATTTAGTGGCCAAGGGGTTAGGGAATAGGGGGGACAGTACCACACATAGAACTATAGGCACCTTCACATCTGCAATTGAACCGACATGTTATGGAAAGCCATGGTTCTGGAACTGGACAGACTTGAGCAAAAATCTCCTCTCTACCACTAACTAGCTCTGTGACCTAGGAAGAGTTGACTTCTCTGCTTCAGTTCTAATCCACGAAATGAAGTAAAGATATTTTAATTTTAGGGTATTTTGAATATGAAATTCAATAAGGATATAAGCTGGTCAGGAAATATGAAGGTGCTGAGATTTTGCTTGCTTGTGAGGTAAGCCAAACCTGTAATAGTTCCATAGATGTTGACAGAAGACACAGGACAGAGGGCTTTACTGCTCACAGCTAGGGCATGAACATCAATACACTTGTGTTAGCACTTCTTGTCCCCTAGCCCCACGTGGGCAATGTGGATGGTCCCTGCTGGATGCTTGCCCACAAGGTAGTTGAGTTCTAGAAGAAGAGACCTGAGCTAAGAGAACCAGAGTCCTTTCTGATGGACAGTAAACATGCTTGCCTCTCTGCTCTGGAGAAAGTCATTATCTCCACTCTCCAAAGCTGCTTGCTATAAAAACATCCTTGCAAAGATAGCCCAGGAAAAACCAGTTCACTCCTCACAAGATGTGACAAATTTGAGAGACCCATGGAGCATTGTCCCCCAACAAGGTAGACACTGCCTAACAGTGCCTG